GGTGGAGGCGCTCCTGCACCCCCCCGATTGACCCTCCCCTGGATGGCAGCCTGCGGCAAGTGCAGCTGGGCTGATGGCCGTGTGCTGTGATGTGCCGAGTGTGGGCACTCAGGGCACTCCAAGCCAGGACTGCTTTGCTGTCCCTCATCAAGTTAGACAAGTGAGTGGGGAACCTCTGAGAACGGTCTGTCCGGGGTGGGGGTCGGGTCCCTTTAAGCACAGCCCTCGGCTAGCCTGAGGCAGCAGCTCCACGCTCTAAGTCCTCATCTGGTGCCCTGCCGGCACTGCTTCCGGCCAGCCTTAACCTCTGTTCAGGGTCCACTCAATGTGGACATGCTAGTTCCAATTAGCAAAATGTTAATTCAAACTATTTTTTAGGTCTAGATGCACTAGTTCGAATTAGCTTAGTTCGAATTAACTAATTCGAATTAAGTTAGTTCGAATTAGCGCTGTAGTGTAGACAGACCCTCTACCAGGAAGAAGCCAAAAGGCCTGTAAGAACTGGCCTCCAGGATAAAAAACAGGTGGACGCTCCATAAAACTCATCACAGCTCTATCATTCCTGTCTCTTAGCCCCTTTTAAAGCTGCAGGCCCCCTGGGCAAGCTACGTGGCAGGAAGCCGGCCAGAGAGCAGCACCTCACTGCATGGCTCTCCCTGCCACGGGCCTTGCCAGGCCCTGAAGCATCCTGCGACCCCCCGTGGCCCTCACCAGGAGCAGACCCAGGCCCCACCCAGGGGGAGCAAGAAGCGCGCACCCTCCTGGTTGGGTCTGGAGATCGAGTCCCTCCCGGAGCTGTGGGGCCAGGAGGAGGCGCTCCAGGATCCCCAGGCCAAGAGGAGAAACGTGGACAATTATGGCCGGATGACGCAGGCCCTGGCGGAGACTGGACACCCACCACGGACCTCTAACCAGGCCTGGAGTAAGGTCAAGGAACTCCACCCGGCATATGTCCGTGCCACCGAGCGCTCGGGGCAGGACCCCACACCGGCCCCCACTCCAGGGAGCTGCACCACATCCTGGGGAGTGGGGAGGACGATTCCGCAGCCACATTTGCAGACTCTGGGCTGCTGACCCCCGTCGTCACCCAGCCGGAGGAGGAACAGGAGGGTGAGGGCCAGGCAGCCACGGGAGAGGAGGAGGGAGGAGCCGAGGGGCACCGTGACCTTCTCCCTGGAGCTGGTGCCTGTCAGCCGGGAAGTCCCCCAGGGCTCCTCAGAGACCTGGGCGGGATCCTCAGGTGAGTGGTCTCTTTGTCACTCACACAGAGGGCGGCGGGGGACCCATGTTGCTCGGATACCGTGCCACGTGTGACCTCGTGCAGCATTA